AGTGCCTCCCTTAGGGTGCCTCCCGTCCGGCCGACCCCTTCCCTGGAGCACACCCGCTAGCCTGGGGTTTTCCCCAAGTCAGGGGCTTATTAGGAAGCCTCCCTTAGTCCACCGACCTAAGGGGCCTCCTTAGCATAATTTAGACCCACCCCTCAATGAGTCTCCCACACCGGTCTCAAAGGAGAACTTTATTGATTACAGGGGGTAGGGCGGAAACAGGGTAAAAGGTAGAGCAGTATCATAGAAATATTACAGGAATATCAAAGGAATCCCATAGAGCAAACCAGGGTGGCTGAGGTAGCCGTTTAAACACGCATCTGAGTTACTGAAGCTAAATATCTAATCGGATCTCGAGTAGGTTACTCACTCGCATCGTCCAGAGGTGGTTAGAGTTTTCCTCGGGAGGCAGGGCACTCTTGGAGCATGCGGTGATGAGGAGAGAGCCAGGTTCAGATTCACCTGGATGACCGCATGGCTAATGGCCGCCTTCTTCCTGGCCCGGGCCCTTAAATAACCTCTCTGACCTCAGCAGCCCGGTCCAATCGAAGCTGCCAATACTGGCTACAAACCGACCAATCTACAAAGCATCCCTGGCTACCTGGGCCCGCGCGCAGGGCCGGGCTTTTCCCCGCCCCTGCCCAGGTGACCAGAGCATCGCCTCCCAGGCGCCAGGCTTTTGTCATGCAGACAAGGTGGGAGATCCCCGTCCTGAGGGATTCAACAGCAGCCTCCCAGGCTGGCTGAGACAGATCTCTGGAGAGGGGCACCGACGGTGGCATTTCTGCCACAGTGAAAGCCTGTGATCTAGAAAGTCATCCAGCCTTGAAGATATCAATATCAAGCCCACCACTTCCCCCAGGAGTTTGTCCCCTTGGTTAAACACCTACAACGTTAAAAATTTGTGCCTTATTTCTAATTTGAGTTTGTCTGGCTTCAAGACATTGGTTCTTGTTATGGTTTTCTCCAGTAGAGCCCTCCAGTATGTGGTATTTTTCTCCCCATGGTGGTTTTCATACAGTATAATCAAGTCACCTGTCAGTCTTTCTGGTAAGCTAAATGGATTGGGCATTACATCTTCTCCAACCCCTTGGCATCATTTTTTGGCACCCTCTCCAATCTTACAACATTATGTTTTAATAAAAAGATACGGACTGAATGGTATGTAGTGCTCCATTATCAGTTTCACCAGTGCTGTTAACAGAATAAAGTCACCTCCGTACTCCTCACTACCCTCCTGTTTGCACCACCAAAAATTGTAGTTGACCTTTTTGTCACCGCATTGCACTGGAAGGTTAGACTGAGCTATTTGTTCACTAAGATGCTGCCTGCCAGGAATCAGTCCCCTGTTCTGTACCAGTGGCTTGAATTTCTTGCCCCTCCCTTATGGATGATCTTGCTTATGGCTGTACTAACACATATTTTGGTTGAGTAAACTCAGCTTGCTTAGCGATCCACATCAGTCTGACTGTCTGGTCCTTGCCAGTATTTATCATTCTCCTGTCTTTGTGTCATTTTGCAAATTTAATCAGCAGGGAATTTATATTTATTTCCAGACCAACTACAGTGCTGAATAACATCAGACTCTGATCTCTGTGGAAATACCCACAATCAGCACCGGTTCCCTATTCAGGACTACTTTTTGAGATGTCATGTAGCCAATTTTTAATTCATTGAATTAGTATTTCTTGGTACTGGATCATTCTGTTTCTTTTTTTTAACCAGGAAATTTTGTGCTGCTGAGTAAAATCCCTTTCAGAAGTCCAAGGATATTTTATCTATGTGGTTATCTGTATCTGGCAAACCTGTGACCTCATTAAGAAAAGGAAATCAGGTTTGTTTGACAAGACTGGTTTTTAGTATGTGTGTGTTGACTTCCACTAATTATGTTCCTATTGTTTAATTCTTTACTCACCGAATCCCATATCAGCTTTTCCATTATTTTGCCCGTGAGTTAAAGGCAGATTAACTGGCTTGTACTTGGTTCCTTGGGTCATCCTGCTTGCACTATTTGAATAATGGCACAACTATAACAAAGGAATTTCCCAGCAGTACCCCCTCCTGGGATTGCTATTACACTGATCTCTGTGAATTCAAGATACCGTGGATCTGAGTTAGCAATAAATGCAAAAAAAGGTTGTAGCATCCTTACTTTAGTATCCCTCTGACCTCTCTAATCCCCTCTGTCCTTGTTAAGCAGGTAGTAATCAGCGATTTAAACAATGTAATCACATGAATCATCCCACCAGGTTTTAGTACAGCCAGTCCCATCACATTTCCCATCACCAGTCAGAACTTCCTCTTTCTTCTGCTTATATTGCTGGGAAAACAAAGCTAGTTTCCCACCATCTGCACTGGCTGTCTGTGGGTTTTCAGGTGGAGCTTAAGACCCTTGAAAGGCCTGCCTACATGCTGGTTTTGGTCCCTGTACCATCCTGCGGTCAGTAGAAGATCTTGAACTGAAGCCCCTTGGGTATCAGAAGAAGAGTCCCCCAGAACATTATCTGGGTAAGGGCCTCTAACTTGGTTCAGCATAGGCCCAAATTTGTTAACTTCCTGAGACCAGCATGCCCAGGCTTTGGACATGGTTGATGGTGATAAGGAAGCATTTGGTCAGAGTTTGATTCCATCCACACTTGGTTATTTCTTTGCTCCAGGAGAGAGGGCAGAAGGCAAGGTTTAGATTTGCTGCTGCCCCAGTCCTTTTATGCAACTTGTTTTAATGGACAGCAAACCGCTGTGAGCGTGGGGTTGGCCTTTTGGGAAGAGGGGTGTCACAAATCTAAGTAGGTGAAGGGAAGTTCATCTAAATAAGTGAACAGATGGCAGCACTGACCTGATGGGCAATTTTCAGGTCACTCCACCTCTCTGTGCCTCTGTGTCCTCTCCTGCCCCTGTCTTTCTCTTGCATTGTCAGCCAGTAGGTCCTGGCCTTTCCATGCAATGCCCCCGTTTCTGATTTTGTGACTCTGTATCCAGTACAAGCTCAGCTGCTAGAATCTAATTTCCATGGAGCTCATGACCCCACATGCAGGTGCCATGACCTATAGTTTAGGGCAGGGGTAGGCAATTATTTTGGGCAGAGGGCTGCTTACTGATTTTTGGCAAGCCATCGAGGGCCACATGTCGGGCAGCCCAGGGCAGATGCATATTGATTTTCTAAATTTTTTAGGGGTCCTGTGGGCTGGATAGAATGGCCTGGTGGGCTGCATCTAGCTCCTGGGCCGCATTTTGTCCCCCCCTGGACTTTAGGGACTGTCACTGGAGCCTCCAAGGTCTGGAATAGCCTGCCATCGGAGGTGGTTCAAGCACCTACATTGAACACCTTCAAGAGAAATTTGGATGCTTATCTTGCTGGGATCCTATGACCCCAGCTGAGTTCCTGCCCCTGGGGCAGGGGGCTGGACTCGATGATCTTCCGAAGTCCCTTCCAGCCCGAATGTCTATGAATCTATGAAGTCTTCAGTCCACGCGTATGGACAGCACCTGGCACAGTGGAGCCCTGGTGCAAGTGTTGGCTCATAAATCCTACTCATTAGGACTTACTCAATCACTTTATCCACGGCTGAAATTGCAGGAAGTAAAGGTGTAAAATATGCTGGCTATTTAATAGCAAACAAACAGCTTCATCGTTTGGCACAGGAAGCGGTGGGAAAAAATATGACATCCAGATGAAACTACCCAACTGGCACAGAACATAATTACCTATTGGAATTTGAGTATAACCCTGGGGCTAACTCCTAGCAGACAGAGCTGCTTCAAAGATCCCGCGTGGCCAGAAATAATGTTTATGTATGTCTGTGTCGTAACCCAAGAGGAACTGATTCAAACTCCGACTCAGATGGAAAGTGGTACCTGCTGTGCCACCTTCCTTCCCTAGCATCCTGGGGCCGCCTGTGCTGGTGGCTCCTCCCAGCCCAGCCCAGGTGCCATCGCAGCCACTTGTGCCACGGACCGTTTCCAGCTCTGTTGAATGGGGTGGACACAACGGTGTGTATTAAACGCCTGTGCTCCTCCAACTGGTGCCCTTTCCTCCAGTTTGTTTCGGGACAGGTGATGTTTTATATCTATCTATATCTATCTATATATCTAGATCTATAGATAGATAGATAGATAGATAGATCTATCTATAGATAGATAGATAGATCTATCAGTTTGAAGGACATCGTGAAGATGGAGGTTTTTTGGGAGAGGTTTCCCCCCCCCAATCCTGGTGCTGTAGCCGGTCCCGTGTGGGGCAGACCCACTCCAAGGAGGCAGTCTGACCCAATTCTCCTTGAGCTGGCGGGTTGTCAGTTGATTTCTCTACTTGCATTTAGCCTCGTGCTCTGGGTGGGAGAGGAGCTCCCTGCCGCAGCCCTTCTCCTGCAGACTGCTTGGCTTTCAGGGAGACATTTCCTCTTGCTCATCCCTGGTCCGCGGTGGATTTGGGGGAGTAAAATGCTTTTGTTTGCTCTTACAAAAAACTAGGACTCTTGGTTTCTGTATGTTTTTTTGTCTCAGACCAACGCGGCTACCAGGCACACCTTTGCTTGCTCTTGCTTTCCAGCGGCTGGAAGCTCGGAGAGCTCCTTACCTGCTCTGAGCGCAGAAGGGCTCCCAAACCAGGGCTGCAGCCAGAAGGAAACCATCCCCTTCCCATCCCCGCCTCCAGCCC